AATATTCTGCTAAAAATGTACCTATTGTAGCTGTGGTATGTTCATTACAATTTGGTCCACAACATTAAGAACCAAATCCACTTTCTTTTGAAGGAATTAGTTCACCTAAATATAGTAGAATATTTAAAATTGATGCTATTCCATTAAGGTAATAATATATTCTCCAACATTTCAAGAAAATAATTTGAATTTAAATTTATTTTTAGTAAATATATATGTGAATACTCTTCTCCAACAGTTGGAATTAAAATTGTTGAAATTAGTCCTCCAAGTGGAATTTTTAAAGTAACACCATCTCCAGGTCATTAGTTTATGGTATGTTTATGAAATAATTGAAATACTTTATCGAGCAAGTTACTACTAATCAGGGTTTATGTTTGTTAAATAAGCTGCTTATTATTTTTATAATGTTTCTACAGCCATAGTAAAAAAAAAAAAATAATAACCCTAGAATGATAAAAAAAAATGTATTTAAAAATAACAAATTAGATTACCGTGTAAAATAAATATTGTTTACTTAGTTATTTGTTGTTCATGTGATTAAATACTGTTATTTTATCAATTTTATTGTTCTCTTACATTGTTGATAAATTTTACAAAATTTGAACAGTTTCTACAATTTACAATACGAAATATTTGAATACTTTTTAGTTCTTGATCGACAATAATAATAATTGATAATAAACTAGTATGTAATAATCACAATAATTTATATATAACCAATGAAAAATGGCGAAAGTCCAGTGCAGCGCCATATTGTAGCGTTTAAGTGAATGGTGGTGGAAGAGGTATGCGTATCATAAAATATGCATCATACCTAGCTTATTATACCATGATATACACTATACACGCAGGCACGAAGCTATCGTTATCCCTGGTCGTCGCACTTCTTGAATGATAACAATTTTTTTTATATATACGATGTTTAGTGGCCACCGACCGTAATCCTGATAATATACAATAATTTTATTTAGCACTGCATTTGCATTTTTTAATTTTTTATACTTAACGTTTACTTAATATAATTTTATGGAAGATTTATACTATTTTATGTTTAAAATGTAGATGTTATTCCATGCTTAAGCACAGTATTTATACAATTAATAAATATACTATAACTGTACTCAATAATATACTTGTATATTTAATAATATTTTTTATAATATTAAATAGTGTGCTTTTGCTTTAACTTTAAAGTGCCTATGTGATCCCTTTTTATTTTGATTGATTTTTAGGTTAAAAACGGATGAGAAATTAAATGAACCAAAGTAGATTAATAGGCTTGATCGTTGGCCTAGCACTTTCACACATACACAGGTCGCATTAAATGTTTATAATTTAATTGACCGCTCTACTAATAATAAAAGAAGCAAATATTCTGTTATTTAATTAAAAATTTTCCATACTATGATGGCTATGATGATTTATTTAAATGATATAACATTTGAATGCCACAAATATTTTGTAAAAAAGACGGGTTCTGAGTTTTAAAAGAAGAAAAAAAATATAGTTTAACCCTCTTTATCTGAATTCCATGTAAAATTATTTCGTTCTCTATAGCCATAGCCTTTCAATGGTTAAATTATCACTCCTACGTTTTCACAATTGCATGGAAGTTTCAATTCAATTAAACAGACTTATGTAGACTTAAGATCGTTGTACCAATACTGGCTTACTTTATTAAAGAGCATGTGTATTATTTATACAGTAATATTTAACGAGGAATATTTCAACAAAATAAATATTTGGCATTGAACAAATAATTTACTTAATTTCATGTTGTGTTTTAACATAATATTTTATGGTAAATTGTATACATAGTATTATATCAATTTATTACTAACTAAACTTGACGTATGAATTATGTAAAATTGCGTTTAATGGATGGCATCTTAAAAATTAAAAACTACCCATTATTCCTTGTATACTCGTGAAAAAGCGCAAATTAATAAGAACAAAAGGACTCGAGGAAAAATGAGTCAAAAAATACATCAAAACTAATTTGTCACGGTTAAATAAAGCACAAATTAATGTCTTAAAATATCTGCTCGAAATGAAAACATGTAGTGAGCTATATTTTAACCGTTTTACTTCGAACCAATTACGCATTAAACAATTATCCAACAAAGCCAGAAATAAGTTCATAATTTGGAGGTCGTATTATTGAAATGTATAGTGGGTAACTGGAAAATAGGAATAAAGGCACAAAGCAGATGCATTCATGTCGGTGTGTGTATTATGATTCGCTAATTTATTGAGATTACGTTTTGTCGTATTATTACTACTTTCATAAGAAAATCATTGGTATCTACATAAGTTAAAATAATAATAATCACAATAACTGGTAAATGGTAATTGGTAGTAAAGGTGTATGAGTGTTAATTTACATAGATATAAACTCGACTACATCTGAAAAAAATATGAAAATGTAAAAAATGGATTGTTATTATCTTTCCATAATATGCACTAGGGACTAAACCTATTTAATTTTTCGGTTCAGGTTCCAGTTTAGGTCATCATATTAACTTTTTAAGGTTTCCGGTTTTCTACAAAAAATAAGGATTCTAGAACCAGTTAATGCCAAATTAGAAATCACAATTCGATTAGAATTAGAAGTGATTCGAATTTACGAATATAAGAATTATTTAGGGTTATTAGATAAAACGATATATAACAATAACTCGTAAATCATAATAAATACTAATATTATTATTGATTAAAATACAAATCATTAAATTGAAACAATAATTTATAACAAAGAATACTTGAACAATAATAACATGATCTTTATTACCGAATGCCATAGTGACGCGGCAACCGCGCGTCGGCAATGTCATATATGTAGAATGGAATTTCCTGTTTATTTTTAGTTTTAAAATGTTGAATAATATTACGTCCTTTGTCACATCCGATCCTGATCCGTTCCCATTGCGTTCCATTTTTAACGTTCCGATATTTGTATTTACATACAACCGACCTGGTTCAATTGTTTTATATTTTGATTATAAGCATTCAGTACGTAAACTTGTATCGTAGGGAACAGTTTATAGTGTTTCAAGTTTGGGTTTTAAAATTTCAAGTTTATGAATAAACATTTTATTAAAATAAGTGAATGTAATGAAGATTATGATGCAATTCTTCTGCTCCATGTACTATCACTATAACTTGGTTATAATAATGTACTTAAGTCATAAAGCCCACTATGTATTTTGAAAAGCTCAATTAATATATCACTGTTCATAACGAATGGAATGAAAAAAAAATAATAAAAATGATGTATGCATATTTCAGTTGCGTATTGTCAACTAATATTGATGACTTAAAATGTTACATTTAAACACACCAAAATATTTTAAAACAACAAAGATAAAATCGGGCGCCTGATTTCCAATCCGCCTCCGTTCCGTGTCCAAACTCAATCCAAAAAAATCGATCATTGACAATATTTTTTTGTTTGGAAAGAGCTTGGAAGGCTCGGAACAGACTCTGATCGGATATATGTGAATACATACATGGAAAAACAAGAAATTCATAGTATTGTGCACATGGATACTCTGAAGGAACAGACCCGGATCGGATGTTTGTGAAGGGACTTTTAGAGTCGTCTACTCGTATCACAGATTATCTGGGTCCGTATTATTACTAAATATTTTTACCAGTAATGTACATTATTATTTATTTTTAATATATCATTGATAACTACTAATCGATAACATATTAACTGTTGTAAAAAATGAAGGAGTATCATTAAAGAGTTCGAATAGTGTTTTGAAATTAGTTAAATATATTGAAAATTTGTTAATCAAACTAACCTGCTATTGTACTTCTATTATATCTGATTTATTTGTAAAAATAATGATCTCAGTCAAAAATTATGATTATAATTTCAATATTTTACAATATATGATGTGTTCCAATAATTCATTTTACAAAATCATAGATTAGATATACTAATATTAATCTGTAAGAAATATTTAAAAATACGACTACATCATGTGCTAAAGCAAAAACTTCAAATATTGTTAGTAAACGACATGAATGAACCAAATTAGTTTTATTTAATAATATGTAATAGATACTATATGTTTTTATTATAAACTAATATATTAAAAACGTTTGTATGGTGAAAAATATAGTATTTGTGATAAACATTTTTTCCCCCTTAATTATATTTAACTTTTATGTCTTCTCATTTATTTAAATTTGACTTATTAAAAAAAATAGTAAAAATATTACCCACCAAGTATTTAATATTTTTTTACCAACCGAAAACATGGTGGATTTATGATAAGTTCATTCCCGCCAAGCTCTATCGTTCTGAATGATAAACGCCGTGAGTAACTTATCTATAAGCTATAGATAGTATAGTTATAGTTAGTATAGAAAATCTGTGATTCATTTCAGTTTCGGTTCTGGTTGCTGCATCACCAATTGTGTTTAAAACATACTCGTATTTGCTCTCCCATAATTTTTCACTATGCAAATCGTCATTTTTTTAAGTTTTCGAGACTGTTTGAAGCAAAAAAGTAGTAAAACTCCTAAGTCGACTGAGGCTTTTCGTTATATTCATCGGTTCACCATTATTAAGAAAACTGTTGAATAAAACTCTCATAAAAGTACCCCCTAAAGAACAATTCCTATAAAAAATCGTTTATGATTATGATAATCAGAACGATGATCGTGTACACAGTTTCAAAAAAAATAAAAAAATACACATCTCGATAAAACTAATAGACTCCTCCCTTTTCACTCAGAAACTCAAATGTGATTTCATATTTTATTATTAATCCCATGAGCAGAACCAAGATTTTTTTTCATGAATGTCCGGCAGTCATCGTAAAAAAAATGAAAAAAAAAAAAAATCTTTTTATAAAATAATTAAAATGGATCCGTTTCTGGAAAATACGTTTTCGGCGATTCGGTCGTCGTACACATATGACGGACACGAGATGAACCGGAAAAAGGAAGTGCAGTTGTACTAAACCGTGTCCGTTTTCCAGGTAGCCCGGTGGTGCGAATGGAGCGCAACGGAACTTCCGGCGCGGGCGATGGCAACGGCCATGGCAGCAGCAGCCCTTACTGCGGCAACCTGCTGGTCGGTTTGCACGACGTGTACATGCTCTACCACGGATACGCTAGCCTCCTGGTGTGCGCGTTCGGCTCGGTGGCCAATGTGCTGAATATCGCGGTGCTGACCCGCAAGGAAATGGTGTCGCCCACCAACGCCATACTCACCGGGCTGGCCGTGGCCGACCTGCTGGTCATGATCGAGTACGTGCCGTTCGCCTATCACATGTACCTGCGACCAGCCGACTATCCGCGCGCCGACCGGTTCTCTTACAACTGGTCGCTGTTCGTGCTACTCCATTCAGACTTCTCGCAGGCGTTCCACACCATATCCATTTGGCTGACGGTCACACTCGCCGTATGGAGGTCAGTACCGTACGAAAGAACCCCGGGTAACGGGACACGTAAGCTTATCCCCCCAAATGTTTCCACGAACCTCTTAAATGAAATATAACGTGCCTTAGAATTTTTTTTATTATTAATTCACGTTAAAGTAAAATTTAAAACATGGATTTAAATATATGTGCAGTATAGTGTTGTTATAGTGTTAGGAGAACATTTCACCGTGAACTCGTTTTGTGAAAATTACAAGTGTAAATTTGAACTTACGGTGTAATAGTGAATAGTGGCAGTAAAGAAATCAATAAAATGAGAAAACGGTGGTTCCCTCCTTCATCCATCCCTTCCTCAAAAAAAAAAAAAAAAATTGAAGCTTTAAATGTGCCTATGTACCGTATCAGCATCGTCTTATATAATATCTTCGGAAACATATTATCTCCCTTGATAAGATTGTCCTCCAGTCCTTCACTAAGAATAACGCATACTCGATTTACATTAATGTATCTTTTTACGATGTGAAAGTGAACGCCTCTCGGATACATAATGCACGCATGATACCTAATATTATTATTATTTTTATCATCAAGACGTAGTAAACAACACCATCTAATTTTTTTCAATAATTATATTTGACACCTATTTTTCGTCTAGTCATTTTTTTTTTCAGTTACCTTCATATATAACTTTTTCGTCACGATATTTTGTTTACGTGCCATTCTATACATTTGTAAATTTTACTTCCTACTCAAATATTAAATTATTCATGTCTTAAATAATATAGTGCAATTATTCTTACGTGTATTTAAATTTTAAATTATCGACCGTAAAGATTTTTATTTATGTGCGTTTTAGATCTATATGACCGTTATTGATATTCGTGGAATGTACAACGGTTAAAAGCAATTACAGAAGTTAAATAGTTAACCCGCTATTCAATATTTCATTTTTGCGCGTTACAAAATCCCTATAAGGAAGTAGGTAATTGTTATTCTATACGACCTAGCATAAAATTTGCAGTGCATAAAATGCCTAGAAACAATGACAACATTTCAAAACCTTTAAAAAATAAAATTCTATGATATATTTAATAAGCTGTAGATTATCGACATTTCTCAGGTCAGAGATAAATTAATGTATTTCGTGTACATTATGAGTAACGATCGACGTTAGTATACTGTTATATTTATTTGGGTTTTATTCAGAGAAACGAAAACGTTGAATCATTGACGTTTCTATTATTGTAGTAAGTTTTAATCACATGTTCCGAATGGTATATGGTGTGTGTGTGTGTGTGTGATCACGCAGGGCAGGACATTGGGTCCAATTGAATGGTGGGTATTTATATTATAGTTTGCCGTGCATTCACAGGAATAGGAAATATACCGAGAAAAGATAAGAATCTATTGTCGCGTTAAATTAAAATAACCCTAACTACGCAGTACGCAGTTCAACGCAATGCATGTGTAGACCACGTATACGATAATTCCTAACGGTCTAGGACGTTTGTGCCGTCGTGAAGCAACATTTTTAATCACTTTGTACCTACGTTTTGAACTCTATATTATTATGGTAATAATCCATCTGGTTGGTTTTCAGCCGATTCAAGGGTCGTTGAAATGTCTATACACCACTGGGTCTCACTAATATCTGCTATTTTCAACTAATGAAAGTAATGAAAAGTCCATTACTCCCTTCCCACAACATCAGTCTTTAAAATTAGTATAGCCTTGGAGAAAACGCTGTGATTCTATGTTTAAAAAATGTAAATATATACTTACGCTATCATATTGACCATCTAGGTAATTCAACGAAAAGAGCCTTGTAAGTTAAAAGAAAGAAATATCATTACATCATCATTTTTGAAGGCTAGAGTAAAATGTAGTAGTATTTTTGAAGTTATACGATAATACAACCATTTTATAGAGATATCAGATTGTTTCAGGGGCGCCATTTCAGTTTTAAAATAGGGTTGCCAAATTCTTTACCCGGCCACATTTTTCTACCACCAGGCCACAGGTTAAGTAATAATAGGTATTTGGATGAAGGTCATTTAACGAATATTCCAAGGGTTTTCTTCATTATAATGAAACACTGACGAAAAGTTTTAGAAATACAACATTTATAACAGACCGGTTTTCGAAAAAATCGAATCTTTGTATTTACGATAATTCAAAAAATTATAATCGTAGGGACATAAAATGTACATTGAATATTTATAAATGTTTGAAATATGTAATATAATTTTCAAAATATTTTTTTTAAGTTTTTTATAGAAAATCAAATTTTTTGTGTTTTCTTAATTTTTTTCAAAAATGTCGATAAAATAGTTTTTATATGACAAATAGTCTTGTATCTTTAATACAAAATAATTGATAAATTAAAAAAATTGAGCATAATTAAAAAAAAAAATCTACAAACGTTGAATTATTATATTTTGATAAAACAATAAAATGCATAATGTTCATTGTACATAACTATCACGTAAGTTATATATATTCGTTTTCTTTTTCGTTGTATTTCTTTGCAACCATCTTTCCGTCGATAAAATTACGTACCAATCACTTTTTTTATAAGCTGACAGTTAGATTTTCCACTTGCATATTTTCGGATTGCCATAATACTATAATGGCGTTATTTTACCCTGCATCATAAATTTTAAAAATATTTGATTAATAGAAAAATATTTTAGGAGGAATATTTAAACTTTTAGGAAGCTTAAAGCCTTCCCTTCCTATTTGCGCCAATGCCTGACATGACAGTAGAACGACTCGTCGCTATTCATGACAAAACGGTCTAATAGTATACATGTACGACGACAACTGGTCAATAGTTTTGAAAGTATCTAATAAATAATGTATACCATAATTTGAAAAATTGTTATTCATATTAACTATGAACACTTTACGCCGTTATATATGTAAATTATACGAAAGAACATTTGAAGTGATGTGACAGCCAAATTGTTAAGTTCAAAAATAAAATACCGGAAAACGCTGTTTAAAACTATACGCAGAAAATATATTTTTTATAATTTCCTTGTTTACTCAAGTCGATTAATAAACAGGACAGTAGCGTATTTTATGGTGGGAGAGATGGGGGCTCCTCCCCATCAATTGACAATGTTGTGTAAATATTTTCTATATGTTTACGAATATAAAATTTCAAAAACTACAAAGAAATTTCGAATTTATAATTTAGCAAAATTTTACCTATTGTTGATTATTATTTTAAATGAATATTATTTCTTAGAACTCATGTATGTTATATAGTTATATATTTATGTTATGTATATCATATATGTTATTTATGTGTCTAAGACCATAACATTTTTAACGAAGTTTTTAAAAATGATATTATGTAAATTAAAAAAAAAAATACCTATATTAGGTGCAATAAATAATGTCTTAACTCCCAGGGAATTTCAAGGAGTTATTTTTTGAGGGGGAGAGGGTGTAAAGTAAATATAGCCTCCACCCTTCTTATATGGGCTTTTATTCATCCCTTACATAAAGTTAAGTCAGATACGCCACTGATTTACGAACGATATAATATAGGATCATGACTCAATTCATGTCAATTAAATATTAAATTCCGTTGACTAACACATGTCATTATGAAAAACAATGAAATTTCAAATTCTTCACAAAGGCATAAAATAAATAAAACAGAAAGTATAATAAGTATAATAATAAGTAATAATAAGTATTCAGTATATTTCACTTTTACCCGTTGAATTGACTCTTTTTTAATAATTAATCGAAAAAAAAGTCATATGTCAGAAATTAATGTTTAGTTTATTGAAATTAAATAATTATATTAAAATATTGTTTTATTACAACAAAAATTATAGGAAATGCTTTAATAAAAATTGTTGAATTTTAATTTATTTTGCCAAACTTAATCATTACATTACATTAGTCAGTGTTTATTACATTTATATTTTCAAATTTGAAAACCAAAATTGTTAAATATCAATTAAAATTGAGCACTAGTTCAAATAGCATATAGGCGAGTAGGTATAAAAATAGAAAGAATGTAAATTTTTAGAGTGCCAGTTCAATTTTAATTCGAGAAAACTTTTGAAGAATATCAATGTTTAAACTTTATAATTTAGCAATTAAAACTTATTTTCTGTCAAAATATAAAAATATATACTTATATATATATATATATATATATATATATATATATATAAGCTATGGAGCCTTGTACAGATAACATTTTCAAAAACAATGATAGTGATTGCAAAATACAATTGAAAAACTTTTAAAATTTATAATAAACTGTGTACACCTTCATATCTCATATAGAGAACTCCATTTACAGGTCTAGTACCCACTATACACATTTTTGATACCGTTTTCTTTTCCTTTTTTCGTTAAAAAAAAAAAAATCAGATTTATGTTTGTAGTATTCTTCAACTATTTTTCAACAGGGTTTAGCTTCACATAAGCAATTCCATTAAATTTTACGAATTCATCTAGGATTTCAAATGGACAATAGCAATTTTTTAAAGGCTTGCATTAAAGGTCGAGTATATATACGAGGAAATCGTGATACAGACGAAGGCGACAAGATTAAGTGATCAGTTGCATCGGCCTTAGCCATAATTAACTGAAGTAGTAGCCATTGATTGTTTCACTTCGTTATCGCAGTAAATTTCATAAGAGCCTGATTGTATTGCTTTTTTCTCAATAAAAAATAAAAAACACCTTAATACATTTTATGACATATAATATATTGCTATTACAATTCAAGTTTTATTTTCATACATGTAAGATACACTATGTAAAGATCAATATTCTTCAATATTATTCTACCACAATATTAAGAACATAATTTCATTTAATAAATAAAAAATAAATTGTTTAAGAGTTATGCAGCTACAGATGAGCATCACATCAATGATTGATTTACATTTTAATATTAAAAATAAATTATGTTATACGTGATTTTGACAATTATTTTTCAACAAGTGTCTATTTCCTGTACTTATTAAATATAAGACAAGAACATTAAGTGTAACC